TTTTCAAGTTTTTATTTTCCCCCCAACCTTGTATTACCCTTTTTACCTGTGACCTGGGTACCTGTTCCCACTTACTATCATATTATAACCAAGACATTACCATTGGTTTTTTTTATATTATTCTTTTGGTACTTTAATTGGAATTTTATTTTGTCAATTTAAATCTATAGTTAAAACCCTTTGATCTTGTCAAAAACCCCATACCAACCTAGGCAATTGCAAGTACCATTTCAAATTTTTTTTTATTTTATAAGTTTATATTATTTTCCTCCTTTGTCCTTTAACTTTGCTTCCCCTTATTAATTTGTCCCTTTTATATTTTCTCCTTTTTTTAGCTTTTTAAAAACTACCCATTTATATACCACAACGTTAAAAAATAATCAAGGTGCTATTCTCAGGGCAAAGTAAATAAGCTCACAATCTTCCCTTTATATTCCAAAGCTCATTATTCACAACCATATTAGCCCCCTTTTTATTATTTTTTTAAACTATAATTAAAAACTTTAAAAAAATTACCTTTATGTACTACCTTATCTTTTCCCAAGCACTATTAAATCATCCCTTTATTTGTATTATCCCTTAGCTCATTTTTTTACATTTTTTAAAATAATTAGGTGCTATTTTTTAGCTTAAACTATTTACTTTGTTTTATACTTAATTCTAATATAATTCACTACAAATCTTATGATACAAGCATTGATCCGATCCAACCTCTTTTTTTAATGACTTAATAATCAAACAGTTACTGTAATTACTACACTGCAGAACAATCAAAGGCCTTCTCATCCCAACAACAACAAAACTATCTTTAACTACAATATCAGATCTTTAAGAAGCTTAGATGACCTCAAAACATTACAAAATTTCCTTACATCCCAATATGTCCATATTACACTAACGAAACCGGGTAAAGCCTGATAAAAATGTCTATCCCCTTTTCCGGGTTACCCCAGCCACACAACTGTAGGCCAACCAACGGGGGGGGTGGCACGGGCCATATCTACTCAGACCAACTAAAATGATCACTAATCTTGCACAAGGGATGAACATGGGGAATATAAAATAGCTAAATTCAAACCCAAATACCTTAAAAAAACCCTTCACATTGTAACATTACAGAGTTCCACAGTAAAACCCATTAGCCAATTTAGTAAAAATCTAGGAGTATGAAAACTGATGCACCATGAACAAAGACCTTATTTCTCAGGTGACTTAAATATAAAATCCCCTGCAAACCAGGCCCCCACACTTACAAATTCACAAACACAATGAGAAACTTTTATGTTCTACCAACAGTAACAAAACCTACAAGAGTTACGGAACTTGTTTCCCTATTTGGGACCACATCTGGACCAACCCCATACCCCCTTTAAAATGGCATAATACAGATAATACCAAGCCACTACCCCCTTTTCCCATAACAATCTGGGAAACTACCCCCAAAACATACAAAGCACCTTCAACTTCACAATGAGGCCGCCATTTTAACTTCGCAACAGCATTAGCAAAAATTGACTGGCCACTTGGGTAGAAACTATACAGTATTGACGAATGTTTAATAATTTTCAAAAAAGACCCAATACCTCTATAACAAGCACCCCTAAAAAAACAAACGAGACAGCAAAGGACGAACAGTCCCCCGGGTAACACCCCGCATTCCAAATCCAAAAAAAAAACACCAATATGAAAAAAAGTACAGAAGGGTCACATAACCCGAGACCAAAAAAAACGTTACTCGCAAACCTAACCAGCCTGATAAAAAGGGCAAAAAAATTGTATTTTGAAACAATTTTCCAACTTACGGGTGATATAAAAAAGACCGGAAAACACTATCTGAAAATTTGGGGAAAAAAAAAAGATATCACAAAAAAGCGAAATAAAATTACAAAATCAGATGAACCCCCAAATCCCACCAACAGAAAAAGCAAACAACCAATGATTTTTTCCCACATGGGCAAACCTTGCCCCAAAAAACCCCCAAACTCAATACCCCCCCAAATAACTACCCACCGGGAAACCCCAAAAACCCCTGTTCCCACTCCCACTAACCCTACGAAGTCTCCCTTATTATCAAATGCATAAAAAACAAGGCAGGGGATTTTTTAAACCTTTCCACCCTTTATATATAAAAAAAGTGCACAAGTGCTATCTCCAATCATTGCAAAAACCTCTTTAACAAATCCTTTAATCCTCCCCCCTTCCCCACAGTTTCTCAAAAAAGCAAGGGAACCCCCATCCAAAAGGGGGGACCAAACAGGTTGAATAACATAGGCCAATATCCAACTTACACCCTCTCCAAAAATCTTTTAAAAACTAATTCATAAAAGAATCTACTCCTACCTTATCTCCCCAAAAATACTCAACCCCCGCCCAATTTTGGGTTTAGGGCCCAATAAAAATACTAATGAGTATTTACACATGCTAGAACATATAACACTGCAATAGAGAAAAAAAGAAGTCCCATGGGGATCTTCATTTTACTTAGAAAGCTTTTTTATACGTTGACCTGACTTGTCCACGTAAAAATTTTCACATATGGTATAAGAGGGGATCCCCTCAAATTTCTCAAAAAACATACCCCAGCAACAAAGCCAAATGTGTCGCAAATGGGGCAAACTCTTCTGCGCAACCAAATTTCAGTTGGTGTCCCACAGGGGAAATGTCCTTGGGCCCCCTCTCTTTCCCTATACATAAATGACCTTCCAAATTTCGCAATTACTCAAACCCACATTTTGCAGATGACACTCATACTTTCCTCCCCCCAGCCCCACACTAGCCAATACTGAAATACCCAATTACAGAAAAAAACTACCTGGATGAGGCAACAAAAAATACACTAAACTTGACAAAACCTACTTCATTCATTTTGGAAAAAGGCTAAAGATGTCCCTCTTAACATAATGATAAAGGATCACCTATCACAAAGCAACAGAGGGGAAAAATTTTTAGGAATCCCCCTTGATAATAAAACCAAATTTTTAAACACTATACAAAAAAAATTTTTTAAGAAAATTTTCCCAAAACGTGGGAACTATCGAAGAACGGTACTAGTTCCCATCAGCCCCCTGGCCCTTTTATCACTCTTTATTTACCCCTATCTCACCTTGGGAATTTTTGGGATGGGCTCAAAAACAGTTAACCCTTCAGACCATAATTACCCAAAACAAAAAGGTGCAGTTAGAAAGATAACAAATTCTCACCAGGCAGCAAACTCCCCCAAATACAATAAACCCAAACCCACTCACCAACAAAACATCCATACTTATTACTGCACCCATTCTACATAAACACTTTAACCCGAATTAACCCTCCCTCAAAAATCTCCCTTTTCCCAAACCCCAACAGAACACAGACCATAACACAAGGCCAGTCACTCTTTGATGTTCCTCGTGTTCATTTACACATGCAAAAACTCAATGCACAAAAGGCCCAAAAAAATTTGGGAAATTCATTTTCCTGTAAATATAAAAAAACATACCTGTTTATAAAAACAAGTCTCTACTCAAAATCACTTACTCCCCAAAAAACCCAAAAAAATACTGAAAACTGAACCTTTTAAATTGTATATCTTTAAATGTTTCTCACAATTATATAAAATAAATTTAAAATAAAAACCCCAAACTATTTTTTATTTTTTAAATACACTACCTAAAAGAATCCTCATAGACCTTTTTTGTAATACTCACTTGGCTTTTAGTAACGTTTACATTAATTTTTATCACTGACTTTATTTGCTTAGTTAATCTAAATTAATTTTTAAACCACCCTAATGCTATGCATAGTATAAATGGCTTTGGGTACTGCCTTATCTTATTTTTTTGTACCTCTGTATGGGCACAAAAATTAAAAAATAAATAAATAAAAAAAAATAAATAAAAAAAAAAAACTGTGTATTCTGACACCTCTGCAAAAACAGTGATAATTGTGAGTGTGGGAAAGTGTTGAATATGATGAAAGATTTTTTTTGGGGATTTTCTTTTTTTTTTTTTTTTTGGGGCACCCGCCTCGGTGGAGACGGCCCACCTTTTGAGAAAAAAAAAAATTTTTTATTTTTAATAAAATTATTAATTTTTTATAAAAAGCACTAAACCCTCAAGGGAGAAATTTCTATATATAGATAAAAGGGATACGAAAAGAATATTTTTCTACAGGGTTTTTAAAACCCCCGTTTGACTAGAGAAAACTAATTCTTCCCACAACCCACAAGCTGCTTTTTAAACAATCTTATATTTACATCAATTTTTATTCTGGAAGTATGTATCAAGTTTATATTAGTAATGGGGTTTTATATATAATTTTGAGGAAAATATCATAGATGGATTAAGAAAATGCCTAATTGAGTAAAGAAACATTAGTGTGCCCAAAAAGTGATTATTATTACGAGTATTGGCGTCATGATAAGAGAGACTTAGCGATTTTTAAGTGTACCTGCCACCACACAGGGGAAGTTTATTAGGTACAGGACACTTTAGTATAAATTTTCAGAGTACAATAAAAAATGCAGAACTTTAAAAAAACTTTTAAATTTTTGGAAAAATTTCCCGACATAATAGACAAGGTCACGGAAAATGTAAACAAACCGGGTGGGGGGGCGCCGCATTTGAAAGACTGCTTGCCGTATAGCAAATTTTGGTCATGATTTGACATCGCCGTATTAGCGGAACGCCGTAAGGCGAAACGCCGTAAAGCAAGGCCTTACTGTATTAGATTTGGGCTGTCATTTGAAAAGAAAGCAATAATCTTTAATTTGTACAAGAATGATAAATTTCTGAACAGTAAAAAACATTATAAAGTGAAGCACAGCTTAAAACCTGTTCAGAATAAATCAGTTACAGGCAAGTTGTAATATTTACTTGGAATAAGGTAGCTTAACCTCTTTACACCCATAATCAATGTTCACTAAGTGAAATATGTAGCCTAGTGTTTATTGCTGGTTTGAGACTGGTATGCTGAAGGATGGTTAAATACGTCTTAGGCAACCTGATCAATCAAGGCCTCTCTCTTGCTTTATCATTTACTTTCAGAAAACAGTAAATACTAAACTGCACATAAATAATCTTGACCATTTACTTTTTCAGGTTACAAAAGCACCTGAGACACTAGTACCAACTGAGGTCAACTTTTACAGAAAGGATTATAATCTAATATTAACACCACATCTGATATAAAGATACCAAGAATCTGTACTGTAGTCAGAGTGTACATTTTGACTTAGTGGTGCCTTATGGGTATAAACTGTATGACTAAATGTAAAAACTTTCTATACATCAGTTTACATACATCTGCCACCTCCAGTACTTTAAGAAACATATTAATATTGTTAAGTCTTAAGATAAATCATAAAGTATTTAGACAAACAGCAGAAAAATTTGACAATATATGTGAGTGTACTGTTTGTTAGCCATAAAGATGCTACTTACTAACATGACAACATGGCTTTATATGTTTAATTTTACATTGGTACACAAGTGATATTTTTAGCTAAGTGGTGAGCATACTGTTCCTGCAAATATTCTCTCACATCTTCCAGCTCTTTTATTAAGCTCTCTACTTCCTTCAGTCTTGCTGTTAAATTTGCATTGCTCAAAGTTTCCACTTCATCATCATCCAAGAAATCTAAAAAAATAAAAAAATAAAACAATATACTGTACTATATATTGAAGATAATCAAACATTAGTCTATAGATAATTTTACAAGAGATGCTTTGAAAAATACACATCCTAACCCCCTCTTCCTACCTTCTTTTGTTTTTTCTTGAGTTTGTATGCACTGGTATCAATAGTTAGGAGAGCACTGCCAAGTATTATTGGTTAAAATTTATTAGCAGAAACTGGAATATGGATTTTCTTGTAAGAAAGAATTCAAAATGAAGGGCAAGTGTTATATAGGAGAGTACTGGGGTAGGGGGGGTTCATTATTAATAAACACTGTTATATAGGAGAGTACTGGGGTAGGGGGGGGTCATTATTAATAAACACTGTTATATAGGAGAGTACTGGGTAGGGGGGGGTTCATTATTAATAAACACTGTTATATAGGAGAGTACTGGGGTAGGGGGGGGGGTCATTATTAATAAACACTGGGAACATTGCTTGTAGTGGATATAATGCCTACATTATTTGGGGAATTTTTTTTTCAAGTTATTTGATGAAGTGTAAAACTGGCCAAATTACCAATTTCTGGGCACATAATTAGGTGGTTCTGATGGCTGAATAGCATGGAATACTTCAGGAAGGAATAATCACTCCAGAATTTCTCGTACATGTACATAAATTAGGTCGTCTCTTTCTAACCTACATTCCAAGGAACAGTTTTTGAAAGTGTTGGTGGCAGCTTGCATCATGCTTGCATCATGCTTATGCAATTTCATCTTTAGTCTGTGAGACACTTGTATACATAAGCATATCTTTTCTTAAAACAGGTTACAGATAACACTGATGTACCAGTAGTTAATGATGTTATAACTTTTTATCATCTCAATCCTCCCATAACTCATTGCAACTGATATTTTTAACCTTCAACTAGCAATTTTAACTATGGTAATAGCATCCGGTACATTTCGTGGCACTAGAAAATATGTATTAAATTAATAAAAAAATAAAATGCCAAACATTACTAAACACAAGTTAAAAAAAATTAATGTAAAGAGAGAGAAAAATAAAAGACTTGTAAAATAAAGAAGAATTTCACCACCATTGATATGAAAGATTTACAAAGGCAAGGGAGGGAAAAAGAAAGCAAAATAAGGGAGAGAGAAAGAAGGAGAAAGTGTGGGAGGTAAAAATGAAAGAGCAAAAAAAGAGAAGAATGCAAAGCTATGAAAGAAAAATAGAGAGAAGAGAGCACTGGCCAGAGAGCACTGGCCAGAGAGCACTAGCCAGAGAGCACTAGCCAGAGAGCACTAGCCAGAGAGCACTAGCCAGAGAGCACTAGCCAGAGAGCAATGGCCAGAGAGCATTAGCCAGAGAACACTAGCCAGAGAACACTAGCCAGAGAACACTAGCCAGAGAACACTAGCTAGAGAGCATTAGCCAGAGAACACTAGCCAGAGAGGTTTGAACTCACCTGAGAAACTAAGAAGCAGTGACATGTCTGGTGAAGAACCCTGACTTATCTGCCGGCAGATGGTTACCATATCCTTCAACTGTGTGTAAAACAACATAAAACAAATTACAGGTCCTCCATCACAAATCTGGCATCATTGGGACCTGTAGTGTGCCAGATTACTGAGTTTGCCGGATTACAGAGTGGTTAGGTTAGAATACACTTAATAAAATTAACTAACCTGACTGCCACAAAGTTCATTGAACATCGGCAAAAATCAAACCCTTTTCCCGCAAATTTTTGAGCCCAATTTCAAGGATTTTTTCGTCAGGGAAAAGCAATCAAAATCATGTCTTTTTTCGAAATAATTTTCCCAAATTCTATAAAATGAAAAAAAAAAACAGGGAGAAATAAAAACCATAAAAAAACCATGTGAAAATATACCGCAAAAAAGGCGGCTAATGGCCGAGAAGGAATTTCCCTTTTTTATTTTCCTTCTTTTTTTTTTTTTTGTTGATTTTTAAGAAGAATTTTTCCCAAATCTTTACATTCCCCAAGTTCCAAAAAAGACACCCCAAACAAACTGAAAAAAAAATATTTCCCAAAAATCTTAAAATGGCAACCCCACCAGGAAAGGGAAAAATCGAAACTTTGCCCGACTTTTTTGGGGGCAAACCTAGGTTCTCTATACATACGCTGTTTTTCCCATGATAATCTATGTAACTGTTTTTTAAGTAACCTGAATAAATTTTACTTATTTCTTACTTCAATCTGTCGCTGGTACAAAAAACCCACCCTTTTAAAATTGGAAATTTTTTGCAATTTTTCACACAAATTTAACAGATAAACCAATTTTCAAAAAGGGTCCAGAATAAAAAAATGCAGACATTCCTGGCATTTAAAATGACATTTTCCTTTTCCATTAGCCCATGGCTACAGGCCCCTCTTATATTATCTTGTTTTCCTTTTGGGAAATTTTTTAAATTCAAAAAAAAAATTTTAGATTTACTGTTATCAGACTGCTGCTTTATTGTAAAAAATTGTAAAAAAAATAATGTAAACCCCAAAAATTCTTGACCCCCTTTTGGGGAATTTGGACTGGCAGGCAGACAGGTATTGGACGGTGATGTATTTGTTTACTTTTTGAGCTTTGCAAAAGAAAAAAACTTTTTCCCGTTTATGTGAACACAATTTCAAGGTATTTTTTATCAAAAAAACAACCCAAAAACCCAATCTATTTCTTTTAAATATCTTTCATTCTATCAAATGAGACCGAAAAAAAAAAATAAAAACCTTTTTAAACCAAAACAAAAAATCCCGCTAAGCGGCCCCCTAATGGGCCCGAGAAGGAACTCCACTATTTATGGTTTGATTTCTTTCTTTTTTGGGTTTAAACATTAAAAAGGGAATCTTTCCATCATAAATTGCCCCAAGCTTAAATTAAGATAACCCAACAAACAACTGACAAATAATTTAATAATAATAAAAAATTAATAATAATAATAATAATATAAATAAACATATTTATAGATGGGGTTGTAAGAGAAGTAAATGCGGGGTCTTGGCAAGGGGTGTGGATTTTAAAAGTTTGGGAATAACACAAAGTGGGAGTTGTCACAGTTGCCCTTTGCTTTTTTGGGGACACCTGTGCTTTTGGGGGTTTTTCTGAAGAAAATTTGCAGGGGGTTTGGTGGATAAATTTTGGGTTTAGGGTGTGTAAAAAAAGAAAATTGAAAGTAAATTTCCCGGAAAAAGGGGAAAGGGTTTAAATGGGGTTTAAAGAAAGATTAGGTGATAAAAGATTGGAAATCAATTGGGGGGGAGAGAGAAAGGGAGGGGTGAATTATTAAATTTTTGGGAGTGGACTTTGTCAGCAGATGGGTCATAATGATGAGGTGAATCATAGAATTGATAAAGGGGAAAAGGAGGAGTGGTGCACTTAGGAGTCGTGGGACAAAGAACTTTTTTTCCTTGGAAGAAAAAGGAAGGGAATGAAATGAAGATATAGTTTTCCCAAAACACCCTGAAATGGGTGGGGAAGAAATGGGTGATGAAATGTTGAAGCGAGGGAGAAGGTGGGGGCCCAGTGGAAAATGTCATTTTCCTGAGGGCAATGTGGGGTATGAATTAATCCCGAAAATTCGAATTTTGGAAGTTAGGAGGGGGTGGGGTTTCCCAAAACGGTTGTCCAGGGGGCCCTGGGGAAAAAGGGTTTATTAGGTGGTTGGGGACATGTAGGGGAAAATGGATGAAACAAAATAAATTTTCAAGAGTGAAATCAGTCTGTAGGGGGAAAGGAAGGGGGGGAAAGGGGTGGGCCTAGGAAAGGTTGGAGGGAGGGGGTAAAGGAGGTTTCGTGTGCTAGGGGTTTTGGACTTCCAGAGGCATGCATTGCGTGTTTGATAGGAGTGAAGGGGAAAACAAAGGGTTTTTTTAAAAAATTAACCTGCTTTTTGGAGCGTGAGCAAAGTTTAAAATTTTTGAAGGGTTTTAAAAAACCGGCAGGCTGGAAATTGAGTCCTGGGGATGGGAAAAAAACAGTGCCTAAATTTTATGGAGGGGTGTTAATGTTTCAGTTTAAAAAAATGTAGTGTAAAGCACCCCCTTTTCGCAAAAAAAAGTATTGGGGGTGAATGATGGGAAAGTTTTTTTTTTTCGGGCCACCCCGCCTTTGGTTTGGGGAAAAGGGCCCCCGTGTGTTTAAAAAATAAAAAAAAAAAATAATTTTTTTTAAAAAAAGTGCAAAGTACAAGGGTTTCCCGGCCTAGCTGACATCTTTGGGATACTGCTATATAGAAAAACCCGCTTTTTTAGGGAGGTATTTCAAACAAATTAGGTCAGTATCCCCCGGATAACACCCCCCATCAGTTTAATTTTAAAACCCAGGGACCCCTTTCTGTTTGGGGGGAACACAGACGAAAAGGGGGGTAAAGAAACCGCCCCATGTTTCTTTCCCCGGCTGGGGAATCGAGCATTTACCAAAAAACATATATGGCTTAAACCTCCCAGGTATAAAAAATAAAACCCCACTGTTTTGACTTTTTGGGTTATCCCAGGGTTTATACACACATGCTGCTGTGTGTGATAATCAAAATAGAAAAATAAATTTTTGTCTCAGGGTTTTTTTGGGACAGTATGAAATGGATATCACAGTTAGCCCTTGCTATTTCCCTGTTTTCCCCTAATTTTAAGCCCCCAAAACCGGGAAAAGGAGAATGGTATTTATACCATTTTTCCCTTTCATACCTCCGTTTGAACTGCTGGGGATTTTGCAAAATTTTTTCAAATTTTGGGGGTATTTAAAAATTTTTTTTATGTAAATTTTTATTTTTTATTATTCCCTATTATTTAATTGTTGAAAGGTAAAAAAGCTGTAGTGTTGTATTAGCATATAATAAAGCACTTTTTTCCTTGGGATCACGAGATTGAGCTTCCTGGCAAAAAGACAGGAGCTTCAAAGCCACCTTATCTTTAACCCTTTTTAAAATGTTTCAGGCCCCCTTTTTGAAACTGTTTATTCTATTTCCCAAAATATTCCAAAAAAAAAAAAATTATTTTTTCTTATGAAAAAAAAGAGAAATTTTTTTCCCCATGGTAAAGACACCAAAAGTTCGAAATTTGGTCGAAAAAAAACCGGAATTACGCTCCCACAAAGTTAAAGGGGAAAGGGCGACATATTTGTAAAAATCAATTTCGGCCCACTTTGAGCCCTGTTTTTAGCCAATTTCGTTGTTCCAGTTGACCAAACTCATAGCTATTTCTTTAGAATTTCCATTTTATCTATCAGCTGAGTACAAGAAACCACCCATTTACCAATTTGAACTACCCAATATAGTGGTCAGAAATTGGCAATTTGGCCAATTTCACACAAATTAAAAAAGATGCCAATTTCAAAATAGGGTCCAGAATAAACAAGGTAGACATTCTTGGCACTAAAATAGCATATCCTCTGTTCATTAGTCACATCTTTAGGCCCCTCTTGTATTATTATTGCTTTCTATTTTGATTTTTTATTCATACAAAAAATACAAAATTTACTGTTATGCAGACTACTGCATTATTGTAAAAATGGTATAAATAATATCAGTGCACTAGTGAAAGAATATTAGACTCCCCAGTTGACGTGTATTGGACGTGTGGTGTGATTTGTTTACTCCTGAACATTGGTAAAAATCGAACATTTCTGCTAATTTGAGTTCAGTTTCAAGGTCGTTTTCATCGTCAAAGTAATGAAAATCATCTCTATTTCTGTAATATGTTTTCCATTTTATCACCTAAGACCATGAAAACGCAAATACAACGATAAATACTATACGAAAATACACCTCAAAGTCGGCGTTTTATTCCAAAAAAAACGGTCAGTTTTTTTTTCTCATTATGCAATGTGTGCTGCAGGATTTTTTTTATGTGGTGCACACTGACCACACTGACCCATTCTCTCACATGTGGGCCTACCAGCTTTCTCCCGCTTGATTTGAAGCCGCTAGAATTATTGAGTATATATACGTCAGAAACATTAGCTCGTAAGACGTATTTATACGTCGAAAACAGTCAAAGGGTTAATGGACAATGTACTGTGTAGGTGCTTTACACAACGAGAAGCATTTTTTTATTCACTGGACCCATGGCTAGGGCTAAAAGTAAGCAGGTTATAACAAATGGAGAAAAAGAAATTAAAATGACTTGTGTAGCAAGTAGCATCGCCAAACAGTACCAACAGGTTGGTGTGGCGACCCTTGAAATTTTAAATTATGGTAGCCAAAATTATTGCTGAATAACTGAAGGAACCGAATAACTGATTGCCGGATTTGTGATGGCGGACCTGTACTCAACATCAATTATTTGTAAAAATAAGGTCCCCACAATATGTCATACTTGTCAAAAAATAATTTCAATGGAATTTTTTTTTAATATTTATGGGGAAGTGCTAAACTCAATGGGGAGACAATCAGGTGTGATAAAAGTGAAGGGTAATGCAATTCCCTGGATCAAGAGCCTTTCACTGCCATCAAATGAGATATAAGCACTTTAGTGTATGAATCACAAAATACTGGCAAAGTGCTGTGAAAATACATACCATACAAAATTCTGTTTTCTTTC